CTTTGTACAAATAAATAATTACTACAGTGTTTATTCCAACGAAGGAAAAGTCCCAAGGGGAGAGAAAATTGCTACATTGTTTTTCCAAAAAATTTGCATTTTGAATTTTTTAAAAATATACCAAGACAAAAATGACAACTGTTACGAAGCAGTGAAGAATATTTTAACCTACGTACGTCTACAAAAGGATGTGGATAAGGCCCTTTCAAATTATGTGTTGAATTTATATTTTAAAAAGTACATTGGTCCATTTGGTCATGAAGCCATGTATGTATATATTACGGACATGCTCCAAAAATTGGCCAACTGTAATTGCGTCTTAACGTTTCAGCACGATGACATATTTTTAACATGCTCAAATGAGAAGACTGATCGGTTAGGCGGCTCATTATTGAGGAGCCAAGTTATGCCCATAATAAATACGCTTGTGCAAAATAACTGCTGCGCCCATTTGATTAACTTCCTCCTTTTGGTTAATGCCCGAGTTAGCTTCAGCACTCTCTTTGCAGGACTTAGGAATCATCTTTATTCCTACGCATTTTAACTTCCTCCCCTAAGACCGTTGCCGAGGTAAACATTTGATCATCCCATTATAGCCTGCACCCCATTTCATCATTAAGAACAAATTTACGGATGCGCCTTTTTTTTTATTCGTATCCTCACCACTATAATACCAGTACGTTTGTACCCCTTGTTCATTCGTACCGTTCGCTGCGTTACGCACAAGTTGAGGTGTGCCAAATGGGGGAGACCCCCACCCCCCTCCGTGCGCATGGCGGAATATTATACCCTGTAATACATATACCCATTTCCATTTTTGCTCCCTTCGGGGGAACATACACCTATAAGTGGGCAACAATGTTGTTTAGTCCACTCCGCTCCGTCTTTGCGTCATTCGCATAGAGCATTTGAAAAATTCCAAAAAATTAAAAAAATTGTTAAAATTTGAAACCTGTTCGCAAATGATGTTTACAACTTTTACAAATTCTGACGCACCAACAGGAAGGAGTAGCCGCTTTAGGCATAAGGTTGGAGAAAAAAAAAAAAAAAAAAAAAAAAAAAAAAAACAAGTAATTTGGGCCAGAGGGCGTAACACATTTGTGTCACGTATATCTACCAAGTTGCGAATGAACACCTTTTTCAATCGCACACGCGAACGGTGCCACTGAATGGGAATGCATATTCCGCACAACGGCGAAAGGCATATCCGTTTTGTCCCCCACGCACTCCCCACATTTGTGGAGAAATGTATTTTGTAAAATGCAGCAACTTGCCCAATTGGCAAAAGATAACTTGCTTTATATGCGCACATATATTTTATGGTTCGTTTTTTTCTTAAAAAAAAAAAAAAAAATGGAAACTTCAGCGGACTTGTGAATATTTATGCGGGATATGTAGGCCATGCGCGTGCATATGCGCATATGTTACGTAAGTATTTTTTTCCGTTTTACCGTTTCTCTTTTTAGCCATTTTTGCCATTTTTTTTTGCCTTTTTTTTTGTCATTTTTTTTTTTTTTTTTTTTTTACGCCCTTTTTGTTACCGGCCGTCAACCCCATTTACTTGTTTTTTTCAAGTCGGAAACGCAAGGAATCGTTTAACCTTCATGTGCCATTTTTGAAGGAAGAGAGGTACAGAGGGGGGGAAGGCTGGAGAGGCCTTGCAAAAGCATGCGAGGGAGATAGCGCCAATCGCTAATTTTTCCCCTTAACGGATGAATTGTCGCCGCACCCTCGCAAGAACACATACGTCATATGCACGTATGGAGAAGGAAGCAAACAAGCATAAGCACATGAATGAAATACACTTTACGAAGGGAACAATTGGGTAACGGAAGAGCTCACCCGCGAATGAGTTCAGGAAGCAACGTAGAAGAAGAGATTCTTCCCTTTTTGTTCCCCCTTTATGCTTAATCCAATATACCGCCGTAGCGCTGCGCACGAGATCTCTCCTACCCATTACAGTTGGAAAAAAAAAAAAATTCCGCTGTTTCAGGCCAGGGGAGTACCCATACGGAGCGCGCATAATCGTTTGTTTGGCGAACCCAAACGGGACGACGTGCTTCGGGAAGCGTGTCGGGCAGCGTGTCAACAAGGAAAGGGTTAATTAAGCATTAAAGGAAGTAGCGACGTGGGAAAGAAAAACCGCTTCTCAAGCTAAGCAGGGAACCCTGTATTCACCAAAAGCGGCCCCCCAAGATGAACCGCCTCACCCTGAACAAGGCGACCTCGTCGAACGACGAGCCTACGCCAGGATACCTGTACAATGAAATATCGCAAATGGCCTTCTGCTCCAAGGAGTCCATGAACCTTGTGGGCGACTACCTCCTGAAGAAATTACAAAGGACAGATGTGAATGTGAAATTAAAAACGCTTAAAATATTAAAGCACCTTTGTGATAATAAAAGATCTGATTTTCGAAATTTTTTAAAAAAAAAAATTGAAATAATTAAAAATTGCCAATCCTGCAATATAGTCCATGATGAACTGAAAGGAGAAACTCCTTCCATGTTGGTGAGGAAGGAAGCATCTGAGTTGATTAAACTGATTTATTCGTATGACGCGGCAGAGACGGATGGGAAAGCCGCGTCCAACAACGGCCAAGACGTGATGAAAAATAATAGAATACAGGGGTTTGGAAATGCCCACTTTGAAAGGAGTAGCGCCATGCATAGTGGCGTGAACAGCGGCGCGAACAGCGGCATGCACGGTAGCATGAACAGCGTCACGCATAACACGTATGGAGTGCCCGCAGGGGGAGGTGGAGGAGCAGCAAGTGCATTGGACGCAGCCAATCACATGGGGAACAATTTTAACACTCGAAATAATTACATGAGTAAAATGTCTGGTTTTGGAAACCCCTACTTTAACCAGAACCCTGGGCAGAAAACCAAAGGGGAAATAGCCATGCAATATCTGAACGAAGTGGCAAACAAATATATTCCCTCCTCCTTTGTGAGAAAAATTAACAAAGTCAGTGCGTCCCTCTCGAAGAATTATGCGAACGGGTCCCTCAACATACAAAGCATCATGAACGGTAACGCTTTTAATAGGAACTTGGACCGGAGCCGCGTTGGTAAAGGAGGGGGCAGTCATCACGGTGGAAGCGGTTACGGTGGAGGTGGCTACGGTGGAAGCAGTTACGGCACGCATGGGGGGGCGTATCCCACCCACTTTAGCAACCAAGGAGGGGGTAGCAGCTTCGCTGCGCAGGGTCACCTGGGCAGGGGCCACCACAGTGGAGGTTGGCCAACCACCAGGCGAGAGGACCTGGGCAGAAAACCACAAGAGTCGCAGACAGCCGGAATATATGAAAGAAAAATAATTGAAGATGTATTGATTGATGCAGGAATTAATAAAGTGCCATCTGAAAGTCTGTTAAACGAATTTGTTCAACAATGTGAAACCCTAGACACAAAAGTTATAGTGTCCATTCTTACCTCCAAGCTAAGATTAAAATATATTAACGAAGAGGACAATTGGAAAAACAAATTCAAAGTCCTGTGTGCTATAAAGCACTTGCTGGTACACAGGAAGAGGAAGGAAAAGGGTAAAGCAATTGAGACGCTAGAAGTTCTTATTCAAAATTTGAAGGACCAAACATTGGAAGAGCTTTACCGATGCAAGGAAATTAAACATTTAAAAAAACAAGTGTTGGAAATTTTTGTCCTGATGGGTCTTCGCTCGAACCAACCTGGTGACGAGTCAAGGAGGACGGAACGAAATGCGAGTGTCGATTTTACTTCAAGTATGGAAGTCCCAAACCTACTCGACATTGATGATGATGTGCAGGTAGATGTGAAGAGCAGTAGACTTACCGCACACGGGTACGGCGCGACCAACACACAGGGCGGTTACCCGCCCGCAGGAGACGTTTATGCAAGCGCGGCGCATAATGGTAAGACGCCGGCGAGCAGCTTAGACTTTCTCTCTCACAGAAACAACTACCCACCTCAACGAGGAAATAAAGAAAATGCCAAAATGGACCCAATGGATGATTTAATAATTCATTTTGATCACCTCTCGATGGAGGCTCCTCCACATCAGGACACTCCGCAAAGAAGTAGCGGTAGAAGTGGAGCCACCAACAGCGAGCTGTTTAGCAGCCTACATGTGAAGCACCAACAGCAGGGGGACGCGCGGTACACATGCAACAGGAATGATATAAATTTTGCCACTGGGCAAAGCATTCAAAATGGGGAAAAAAAAAACCCACTCGAAATGTCAAGCAGTTCACATGCCCCCCAACGTAGTAGTAACCAAATTGACCTAAACGACACTGGGTATAATAACCTCATTTTTCTACATAATAAATTTGAAAGGGGAAGTTCAAAAGGAGCCATAAAGGCGGAAAAGAATCTTCCTCATTTTAACGAGGCAAATGATTTCTTTACCTTTGATAATGCTACAGAAGGAGCAAGTGGAGGAGATAAAAAGAGGGTGACACCCCCCCGAGGCAGTAACAACACACATGTCCCTAACACCAACTATACTAACCAAACAAATAATGCAAGCATGGGTGAAAGCTCGATGTATCACTTGAGTAAAGACAAAAATGAAACAATGAAAAAATATAATTCTTCCACAGAGAAAGGGAAGCAATCACGTGGTGGAAGCAGCATTGCGGATGTGAAAAATGTACAAAGCCACGATTTAAGTTTACTAGATGTGCATGAAGAGTTGCCTAGCTTGACCAGTGACACTCAATTGTCCAATGCAACGTCACTAATGAGGTGTGAAAAAGGACAAGTGCAGGTGTGTACACCCCCATACGGAGGAGGCATCATGAAGAGTAGTAGTAGTAGTAACCCCTATGACCAGCCTCCTCAGGGGAACTACCCACTCATGCATATGAAGGAGTCAAGTAAATCTGCGGACAATTTTCAGAGCCACCTAACCAGCTCAGGAAATTTCTCCACCACAGATGACCAAATAAATAATTTCTTTAACTCATTTTCCATTGCATCTAAGAGAAATGAAGAAGGAAATAAAAAACCCAGCGTGCAGATCGACGCGTTTGAGCTGTTGGCCGATGAGCTCAAGCTATGAATATGTGTGTGGGACGGGCGGCGAACGGGGCACAAAAAAAGGGTTGTTCAAACGTGGTGCATTGCCTACCCGTTCGGTTCACCACGTGTGTGTTGTTTATGCATTCATTCTTTTCTCTTTTCTACCTTTCTGCTTCTTTTTTTTTTTTTTTTTAATATCTTGCCACCCCCTTGTTATCATTTGATTTTGTGTGAAAAACTCTTCCGTGGACGCAAAGCGGCACGCATAAAATTTTTGTTTAAAGTTGAACACAAATTAGGAAAAGGTAACAGGGAGACTAACGCACAGGGTCCGACCCGAGCGTCTCTTCATTTTTTTTTGTTTTTGCAAAACTGTGAAGGCGTTGCGCACACCACGATATGGGGGGAGAGTGGAAAAACGGTCGTAAAAAAAAACTGTTGACGCGCGTGCTGGTTGGGTAAACCTTTCAACGCTGGTACTAATTCTCATGGTGAATGTAGACAACCCCGTTTTGTCTGCAAAAGGAAAAAACGAAACGAAGGATGCTATGCCAATTTTGCTAACGACTTGTCACTCAAATGGGGAGAAAGCTCTGAACATTGCACGCGCATATATTTTCCTTCGGGCTGGAAATATCCTTCATGGGGTTGGCAAAGCAACTTCTTCCTCAAGGAGGTAACGAAGGGGAACAGTCCTCGTAGTGCATCGTTATAGAAAAAAGGCGTAATGGGAAGAAGGCCTGCTCCGGCTACAGCTGCACGTATGAGTTATCCCCTGCAAAGTGTCAAAAAAAAAAAAAAAAAAATGTATATCGTTTTT